CACGTGAACAGCTGCGCTGCACAGCAGTGAATATATAATGTGAGCGTGAGGCGCCGACGCGATCAAACAGCTGAAACATACAGTAAAGGCATAATTCGAAACTGCTAAGTGTTAGCAGTTTGAAGACTCAAGAATATTTATTTCGCTCTGGAACCTGAACGAAAAAAATATTTTTGCAAAGAACGAACTGAAATGAAAACATTTTGTTTTTAATCCATGTATTTGACAGCCTACCTACACCCCCCCAAGGTGAGGGTGCACAGTGACTGAGGTGGCTGGGCCGGGCCCTCTGAGGCCCCCCTGTGGCACCGACGCTGTTCAAGACAATTAGCAAATCACAGATTATTGTTTTTATTGCATTATTCAACTTTTCTGGAAATGGGGTTGTATAAATCAGGGCAATGCGCAAACATTCCTTCAGTAAAAATATATATTATATACTTCAAATAAACCTTAGACTTTTCTAAACATTTATAGTTACTTACAACCCCCCTGCAAGTTAACAGGGCGGAAACACAGTTTTCTGTAAAATATTCATATGTTGATTAATGTATTGATTTGTTTTTGGCAAATAAAGGAAGTGTTTGTGATTGCTTTTAGTGATGTAAAATATGTTTCATTATTGTGTGGCCTGTGCTACAAAACATTCAACCTCTGTAGCAACAGTGCTATGTGCAAAAAAGTTAACGTGCAGCCCTGAACAGGTCTATCATATTTCATATAAACACACAAAGCTAAGGCATCTACACTCTTAAAAATAAAGGTGCTTCACGATTCCATAGAAGAACCTTTTGGTCTAAATGGTTCCATAAAGAACCTTTAACATCTGAAGAACCTTTCTGTCTCACAAAAGGTTCTTTGTGGCGAAAGAAGGTTCTTCAGGTTATAAAAAGGTAAGAAAGAGATGGTTCTTTAAAGAACCTTTGACTGAATGGTTCTTTGTGGAACCAAAAATGGTTCTTCTATGGCATCGCTGTGAAGAACCTTTTGAAGCACCTTTATTTTTAAGAGCTGTTATAATTCTAGAGGAATGTTTCTTAACAGAAACGTCTGTCTTTATTGTATAATACAAAGAATGATAACAGAAGGACAGTGTTGGTTCTTATCCTGTAAAGGGCTTAGACTTCGGATATACAAGAGAAAAGACTTACCTCAGAGAGACAGATTGTAGCCTACAGGTCGGACAGAAGAAGATAAAAATAGACACCGACACAAGCGTTTTCATATCTAAAATACTGCATCGATTACTTATTTGCCTTTTACTTTCCTGTAGCTCCTCCCTGATAGAAACAAAAAGAAACGAGGACGAATGAATCTAAATGTAAAACAGAATGTCATATCGTTTTATACGCAGCAGCTGGATTAGATTAGCCTATTTAAACATGAGCTGTCAATACATTTAATAAGGCTGTTGAATGCTATGTTATTAATGTTTATTGAAACCGCAAATATAAATGTGAATGAAAGCCGTAGCCTAATGCCAGATGCGAAAGGAGAGAAGAAATAGGCGCAAAGACTTCCACACAGAATGTACTTTCACATTTAAAGAGTGAAACAAACGGTAGAGAGCACTGACAACACTGAAGACGTCGAAGAAATCGACTGCTGTTGAAAATGGCCGGAAAATTAAAAAAACTCACTTTGCCCGACAAAGACATCAAAGTGGTGAAAAAACCAAGCGATCTCGGTAAGTTAAGCGTGTCAGTTTGATAAGTAGATTTACTGGACCAACGAAATGAAAGTAAATGTAAGTTAGCAAAAAATATTTCTGGTTTGATTCATGGTGAGACTATTTTCTTTAATAAAGACGGACACAGTTTCACAAGTAGCCTAAATCTGAATTAATTGGATGACATTGCATTGTAATTGCAATCTAATGAACGCTCTAAAATGCTATACTTTGTTTTGATAGAAATCTACACAAAGCACATTTCTACTTTAAAACAATAGTTAATAGTGCTGCTAATAGTTCACCATTAAATGTGGGAATGTGCAACTAAAAAGTAATCGCAGCACTATGTAACTTTTTCTGTGTTCAAAATTAGCAAAATGCATATAATGAGTGAGTACATCATGAATTCATCTTCCAAACTGCGTTTTTGTCTTATTCCGAATCACTACGGTACACTTATAATAAGTACTTATATTCGGACTATTGTAGCCTGGTCACCGCTGCGGAGTAACACATACCTGCGTGAATCGCCATAGACATACACTTAGAGAAGTAGATCCGGTTGGAGTGTTCTTCCGCGGGATGTGTGCACAGTTCTGTTTATTAAATGCTAGAACGCCAAAAGTTACATAGTGCTGCTTTTTTACTAATTTAAGAATGATTATTGTTTCTAATGTCTTTAATGAAGTCTGTGTACATCTTTCAGATGAATATGACAATGACCCTGGTGTTTTAAGAGTTGAGCTGTCTTGTGGTCATGTCGCAGATCCGATGACACTTACAGATTGTTGCAAAGCTCAATTGTTAAATGTGAGTGTATTTTACAACCTGTTGTTATATAGTCTATATGTTCATTAATGCAGTTTATGTAATGTCCAGAATGTGTAGAAGAAATAAATATCCTATGAAAATCTTTACCTCACTGTACTTTGGAAAAAAAAGGTGTAATGTCAAATTGATATTAATAAGCTTTGTTATATCATTTCAGGGAGAAACTGTATTTAAGTGTCCAGTGTGTGACGAAGAATGGCCATATGATGAAGTCCGAAAATCAGCCAAACTTACAATTAATGAGCGAATAGGTTTTGAGGATTTGCTTGGAATAAACGCTGCTAAGAAGTTAGACATAAAGGATGTATGTACATTTCTGCATCTTTACCTGGATCTTAGTATCAATTGAATACATTTACAGTATATATGTACATTTTTTGTTCATCCCTGTATTTGATATTTCTGCAGTGTCCTGGTTGTGGCACTTTTATAGAGAGGGTGCACACCTCCAATCTCGGCGTAGAATGCTTGATTTGCACTAAAAGGACCGGAGGAATCTATAAATTCTGCTGGCAGTGTCTGAGAGAGTGGAAAGGGCCTCAACCGTGTGCTGATCAGTGTGAAAATGTGGGTTGCAATATCAAGGACCAGGAACTACTTAAAGACTGTTCGGTGGTTACTTTAAAATATATTCAAAATGTCCAGTGTCCAGCGATTCGCGCCTGCCCATTTTGTGGTGTGCTGATTGCACACTCAAACGTGGGATGTAAAATCATGACATGCCAGAAATGTCACAAAGAATTCTGCTTTCTCTGTCTTAAACCTGCTCAAGAGTGCCTAAAAACATCTACTCCTTACGTGTTATGCACAGCTGAAGTCGCAGCAAAGCAAGTAGATGTTGTAAGATTGTGAGCATGATGTGCTGTAATTTATGCAGAAATGACATGTTTATGTACAAGTAATGTAGAATACATATCAGACAATGGATATATATATTCCTAGAATCATCGTGTGTGTGTGTGTGTGTGTGTGTGTGTGAGAGAGAGAGTGTGTGTGTGTGTGTGTGTGTACATGATTTTAAAATTATTTTGTCCTGCTGTTTATTTTTTTCTATTTGAGGAATGGTGCACCTTTAAAAATTAATGAAATGTAATCATGGATATATGCTAACAGTTCAGTTTGATTTAAAAAATGTAAATCTCAATGTTATTTTCTCATCTTATTGATGATAGTTGATATATTTTTTTCTAAATATGTATTTGCTCTGAAATGACATAAATCAATTATAATTGTAATAGTATTAAAAATCAGTCATAAAAACCAAAATTTTTGTTTTACATATCTTTTCTACAAAAACATTTATATTTATTTATTTATTTATTTTATTTTTGTGAATAAACTGGACATGCAAAACTCCATGTTATTGGACCCAGTTTAATTTTATTATAAGAAAAATGTAATAAGTGATTTTCAAAGTGTACTGTAAACTACAACTGAATTCAATTCAGCTGTCCAGCTCAAATGGCTGTTTCTTAAATAATGAACGATTAAATTGATTAACTGATTTTATTATAATGTTCAATTACTATAACTATGCATTATAATTTAACATTCATAATTGTTCATCTTATTTGTGCACTAATTGTACATTGCATATTTTATACACAATAAATTACAAAATAATATGTCCTCAGTTCTTTACCCACAATCTGCAATCATGGTGACAATCAATAAACATTATGAATCATGTGACTAACAGTGACAACAAGAACAGCAGCACCAAAAAAAGGAACAGAAAAAATCATCTTATATCATTGTTTAATTGTAAAAGTTTGACAAGTTGGGAAAATATTTGTTTTTCTACCTTTAAAACATAACATGTAAATCTATGGTACCTTTTGTGATCTCGTATTTCTAACTATGTGAATATTGATTAACTAATGATCTGTTAAGCATTATATAATGTTTTTAATGATTTATTAATGAAAGTTATTATAAAGTGTTACCATGTGTTGTGCTATTAAATGAAAGATAAAATTTTTGTGAGAAACATTACAGATGGTGATATTGGTAAGCAAAAAAAAAATAAGAAAGTTAGAATGTCTATATAATTAATGAAACATACTTAAATAGTCTACAGTCAAATTAGCTTTTTGCATTTGTTTTTATATAAAGCATAAGTATAGGCTACTGCTTAAAAAGTGCTTTTTATATCCCTCCACCCCTGCCACAGTTTGAGAAAATATTGTTGTGACATGCTAATGATTTTTTTATTACTATTTTTATTCATTTTAATTACTCTATCATTTACACATTTTCTAGGTACATTTGTAATATAATGGCCCGGTTTCACAAACGGGGCTTAGCTTAAGCCAGGACTTAGTTAAATTAAGATATTTAAGCAACTTTTACAAAAATGCATTAGAAGTAAACATTACAGGTGTGCATCTTGACACAGAACAATGCCACTGACATATTTTAAGATACGTCAGAGCAAGATATTTTCAGCTGAGACAGCTCAAACATGCATTTTAGTCTGGGACTAGCTTAAGCCTTGTCCAAGTTAGTCCAAAACATCTACAGGCTGAAAGATAAGCGTTCCATAAACCGAATCCTGGGAAACTCTTCATCATGCAATGGGCCTATAAAGAAAACACGCACACAAAAGGAAACATAAAGACACAATCATCCATTGCAGGATTTAATATGATACAATAATTGTATGCAACAATATAAAATCACTAGTGCCAAAGCAAAGTTTATAAGAATACAGAATAAAATAATGAATAATAGGCCTGACCTGGATCTCACTAGTCACTGGTTGGCTTTGAAACTCTTAATGTGTGCAGGTTTCTGTGAGGGGTATTTTTAGGGTTAGAGTTAGAGTTAGAGTTAGAGTTAGAGTTAGAGTTAGAGTTAGGGGACAGAGGACTGCTGCAACTGTTTGTGAATTTAGAATGTTTTTCTTTTTTTGTTGTTGTTATAATTTCCTTATCATCGGTTGTTTATTTTAATTACATTTCCATGTTGCTTTCATGTCACTATTCATATTCTGCATGGTTTATTGACAAGGGGTGCATTTCTCGTACAATGACATAACCCGCTGCTTAACCACAATAACTGTTTCTGAAACTGTAATAACTTCATTGCACATCTGTGTTTACACAGATTATAACACAGTTAATGTCACGCAGGTGGTGGAGTAATAATAACATCTGCTAATTAATCCGTTAAGTATCGAATTAATGTCAGATTATTGCTGGAAATAGCAAACATCGCATCTGAAGTTTATTCAGCATAGTGACTCTTCTCTTCCATTCCTCTCCTCCCCTGTTTACCACAGTGATACACTTTTTTTTCTTCTGTTTTTCTTTTGTTGCTAACCTTGGATGCTCTCCATAAAGTGGCTTTGGTTATACTGACCTATCCACTAACAGCTACACACAAGCACTCTGTGAAAATAATACCCCAATAAAAGGCCCAACAGATTCATCCCTGTGTATGAATCATGAGACAGCACGTTTTCATACTGGTAAATGGTCATTACTTTGCTTAGAAAAGTATCTATAACTAAATAATAATATTAATAATCAATTGTATTTTTATTAACTAATATTCATAGCGATTCATAAATGCAGGATATAAAATATTAATTGTTACTCATGTTCATATGGTCATTATACTGAATGCTCATAGTTGCTCACTGTTAGTTCATGTTAGCTGAGGCACTAACGTTAACAAATAGAACAAATAGAACCTTATTGTAAGTGTTACCTCTTAATTTTTTTAAAATAAAACAAAGTTACATTTTATACGAATCAGAATCAGAAAAGTGACAGTTGTCTTAACAGACAGAGATTAAGTTTATATTATGAAAGTGCGATATTAAAAAGAAAAATGAAAATGATCATACCTCCGCCACGCATTTTCAACACAGCATGAATGACACAGAGTGCTTCGATCTTGTAATAATAAAGATTTTTATCTTCTTCAAGATCCTTTCCATCGAAAATCAACCTCAGTTGGTTGAGATCTGACAAGAAAGACAAAGTCAAATATTAAGATATTCATTTTGAACCATGTGGACAAAAGTTTTAATTTACCATTTACTCCAGGAAAATGACTTATGGCTTGTTTCTTTAAATCTCCAACGGTCAGTTTCCCATTTCCATCATTTGGTGCTGGTGTTGGCAGATGTAATGTTTTAATTGTACTTTTGTTAATCTTCAAATAGACCTGGAACTCCATTCTCGTTCTGTTAGAATTTTCTACTTCAAGTGATGTGAGACAGAAACATGGTGGCTTTATAAACAGCCTTTACTTTCACTTTTATTTCTAAAAGGGTGTTGGCTAAAACACAATTGTCAATTTATCTAAAGTCAAGGTGCTGTATGTTAAGTTTAGATCACGTCAACCAATCCATGTGACAAAATCAAATGAATCATGGCACATTTTATTGCTTCCATATCCAATAATAGGCAAAAATCACCTAAAAGATGACAATCAAAGATACCTTGAATTGTTATTTGAAGAGCAGCTGGATTTGATTAAATCAGCAGCACAGTAGAAGTAAAAGCACAGGTTGAGTAACAATAAAGAGGAAGACAAAATATACACAAAATTATCAGTTCTTTCTGTGTGAAGTAAAAACAAGTTGTTTTCCTTTGATAGCCACTTCTGTCAGTGTTCATTTTAGCCTAGTATTGGCCACTGTTCAAATATAGATTTTGTACTTCATTGATTTGTTTAGTTTTTTTCTTTGAGAGGGGATATATAGTGTGACCTGCCTAGTGGCACTTTGAAATTAACACCACTTTCAAGGAAAATTTGCTAATCACACTGATACACATTGTGACAGAATCCAGGGGCGGACTGGCCATCTGGACGTTCTGGAGAAGTTTGGCCTGTCTGGTTCATCATCAAAGAAAAAGTGTCAAATTAAGTGACGTTACCGTCCGACAAAAGGAGGCGCTAATGCAATCTATTTTTGCTTAAAATAAACCGAAACTGACACGAAGGAGAGAGGGCTCGTGATGGTGTAAGGGGTGCGGTTTCGAACCCGGGTCTCCGGGGTGGGAGGCGGACGCACTAGCAAGGAGGCTCCAGGACACCCCTAGTCTGAGCTTCCACTGCTATTTATTACTCCGCATTGTCTGACATGAATATTCCATTCATTCATAAAGAGAAAGCAGCGATTATACAACGGGTTACACTTGAGAGATATTGAGTTAGAAAATAAAGTGTTATTGAAGTAGCCTATAAGGTGATTGCTCCGATTAACATGACACACACACAAGTATTTAAGTACATATAATAATACATTTATTTCAATCCCCTGCTGAAAAAAACAACAACAATGGAAACCATCAATAGAATTTGTAATGGTTTTACTGGTTATAAGGGAAATTGTATTGGTTTTAATGGAAATTGTAATGGACCCTATTGGTCTCTACTGGTAATTAGTTGCCTATTATTGTTGTTAAATATTATTATTGTTAAAACCACTAAATCCTAATGGAACAAGTCCCAAAACACACTACATGAAACCATTATTTAATTGTTTTAATGATTAAAAGTTGATGGTTTGTAATGTTTGTAATGGCATTTGTAGTGGAAACCATTAGAATTTCTGTGATGGTTTCTATTGTTTTTTTCAGCAGGGTCACCATGGGTTTTGTGATGTTATTTGCCATAAA